CAGTATGTAGTCACTAAGAATGATATCTAAGAGCAAAGAATAACTTGACAGAGATGAGTAGGCAGTGGGGGCAGGGAATGGAAAGGATGAGAATGCTGGCCTGTTGAACAGGGTGTAACTCATGTTGCAGAATGATTTGCATAAACAGCGTTAAGTGGGACCCTGAAACTCTCACCTAAAACACACTAAGAAGCACAAGTTAGACTTCATGCTAATCTTCTGAACAGATACCTGGGTTGCAGTTTCTCTTTGTCTTGTCAGTGAACAGTTGGTGTGTTCGTTAAGGAGGTGAAAGAAGTTAGGCTTAATTAGGGAGGGATGTTAAGTTCTTACCTTTACATCAGCCATGCTGTGGAAGGATTTCCAGACTGGTCAGCTGTTCTGTGGGCTGTCAAGCGAGGGCACGGGTCTTCAGCATAGGCTTATACCTCAGATGCTTTTGCACTCAAGGAGTGGATTTCAGGGTGTTCCATGCCTACTCTAGTGAGCTACTTCTGAGCTAATTACAGACGTTGCTTGCCACAGATATTCAACATGAAACCCCTACAGATTGTGTTTCCTTCGAGAGTGGATCCCGAGAGCCCCATCATTGACTTGGACCTTCACCTGCCCTTACTGTGCTTTACACCTGAGAAGGTGTTACAGGTGAGCGCCCCCCTCCCCCGCCTGACTGTGTCTCAGCTCTGTTGTCTTAATACCAGTACCAGTGGCCGTCTGTCCAGTCTGCTCAGGGTGACCCCTTGTCTATCAGAACTGAACTCTGTTGGGTTTTCAGTGGTGGTTTTGGGAAGTAGAACATCAGAACTTCCTTCCGAGGTGCCTCTGGTGGACTTGAACCACCATCGTTATGGGTGGCATCTGAGTGTGTTCTGTGTGCGCCATCCTTGGGCTCCAGTAGATTGGAACCAAACCCACTGCCGTCGTGTGGGTTCTGACTCAGTGCGGCCCTGTAGGCAGAGGAGAACCACCCCATCGGGCTTCTGAGAGTAAATCTTAATGGAGGCGGGACTGCTGGTGGATTAAGACGGTGAGCTCTTGGCTGCATTAGCCACTGAGCAACCAGGTTCCCTGTGATTGATTTAGCGGGGACTGTACACCACAGGGTCAGCTGTTCAAACCCACCCGCTGCTCCTCGGAAATCCTATGCAGGATTCCTATGAGTCGGAAGCAATTCCACAGCGCTTAACAACAACAGCGGTGTTCTACACAGTATTTGCAATGAGCACTTTCTGTGGGGTCTAAAGTGGCTATTGTTTTAGCAAACGGAACTGAGATGTCAGGGTGAGATCTGCAAGGGTGTCCTTGTCTTAGGGGCGTATTTAAGGGTGACGCTGTGTGTGTGTCTGGTCCCGGGTGGCTCTTGTCTGCAGGTGACACTGTGTGTATGTGTGTATGTCTGGTCCCGGGGGGCCATGTTTACAGGGGACACTGTGTGTGTGTCTGGTCCTGGGGGCTCTGTCTGTGGGTGACACTGTGTGTGTATGTCTGGTCCCAGGAGGCCATGTCTATGGGTAACACAGTGTGTGTATGTCTGGTCCCAGGGGGCTCTGTTTGTGGGTGACACTGTGTGTGTATGTCTGGTCCCAGGAGGCCATGTTTACAGGTGACACTATATGTCTGGTCCTGGGGGGCCATGTTTACAGGGGATACTGTGTGTTATGTCTGGTCCCGGGGGGCTCTGTTTGTGGGTGACACTGTGTGTGTGTCTCGTCCTGGGGGGCTGTGTTTATAGGGTACACTATGTGTATGTCTGGTCCCAGGGGGCCATGTTTACAGGGGACAATGTGTGTGTGTGTGTCTGGTCCTGGGGGCTCTGTCTGTGGGTGACACTGTGTGTGTATGTCTGGTCCCAGGGGGCCGTATTTACAGGTGACACTGTGTGTATGTGTCTGGTCCCGGGGGGCCATGTTTACGGGTGACACTGTCTGTGTGTCTGGTCCCAGGGGCCATGTTTACAGGTCACACTGTGTGTGTGTGTGTGTGTGTGTGTGTGTGTGTGTGTCTGGTCCCGGGGGAGCATGTTTACAGGTGACACTATCTGTATGTCTGGTACCGGGGGGGCCATGTTTACAGGGGACACTGTGTGTGTGTGTGTGTGTGTGTGTGTGTGTGTCTGGTCCCAGGGGGCCGTGTCTACAGTGTTTTAGGCATCTGTCGCCCCCTGCAGGTCCTCACGTGCATGCTCACTGAGCAGCGGATGGTCTTTTTCTCCTCGGACTGGGCCCTGCTGACGCTGGTGGCTGAGTGCTTCCTGATCTACCTGTACCCTCTGCACTGGCAGCACACCTTCGTGCCCATTCTGTCGGGCCAGATGCTGGACTTTGTCATGGCGCCCACCTCCTTCCTCATGGGCTGTCACCTCGACCACTTTGAAGAAGTCAGCAAGGTATTGTGTTCTTTACCAGAGCTGCTGTCATGGAAATGCCACAAAGGGGGCTTTTCACAAGCAGCCATGCTCTTTCTCCCAATGTAGGAGGCTGCCAGTCCGAATTTAGGGCGCCGGCTCTAGATGGCGTTCTCTTTGTGGGCTCTGGGGGAGGTTCTCATTCTTCAGCCTCTGTTTCCTGATTCCCTGACGAGCTCTGTGTGGTTCGGCATCTCTCTTCCCACAGCTCAGCCTAATGTCCTTTTACCCCTTGTAAGATGTTGACTCAAGACCCTCCCTACGCCAGCCCACCTCATGAATATAACCAAGACAACCCATTCCCCAGTGGCATGACATCTGAACCAGAGAGGCTGGGTTGACAATGCATGTTTTTGGGGTGACTCGGAACTGACTCAATGGCACTTAACCACCAACCACACTACCATAAAAGGTATAGAACAAGGACTGTAACCTTCCCTTGGTATACGTGGCTTACTAGGACTGATGTGGAGTTGGCTTTGAAAGTGCTCTGAAGGGAAGTCGGAGGAGACACTACATCATGTCCATTCTGAAATGTGCTGTGCCCCAGTACCAGGCTGCACATACGCATGCACGCACTCACACACTATGCACTTGCCTCATTGAACACTCATGCTGTCTGCTGCTGACCTCGGGGTGTGCTTGGGACATGGGGTTCTGGGAGTAGGACCTTGAGCTCGTTTCAATCTATCAGCCTCACTGAAATGGACCTCCAGTGGTGAGTGTAGACAGTGCGGTCTGGCTTTGAGACCTGGCTAGGCCTTTGTTTATGGACTCCTGGGGTGGCGCTGTGGGTCAGTGCACCAGACTGCAAAGCCGTTTGAACTGCAAGGTCAGCGGTTCAAGCTCACCAGCTGCTCCTCAGAAACCCTATCCAGGGTTGCTATGGTTCGGGACCAACTCGACGGCACTTCACAACAACAAGCCAATGTCTACTGTCTGTAAGTGGGAGGAAACTCATCCTGGTGGGCAGGGCTCTGTGCGTGGGGCCTGCCGTCTGCCCGGCGTGTGACTGGGGCTTGGGAGACCTGGGTGCTATTAGGATTGTTACACATTTTCTAGTGTATTATCATTCTTTTGAAAATGGATAGGACCATTATTTTGATATAATTTCAAACTTACAGATATTTGAAAGACTTTTGTTGTTCTATGCCGTTGAGTTGGTTTTGACTCATAGTGACCCCTATATAGGGTTTCCAGGAGTAGCTAATGGGTTTGAACTGCCGACCTTGTGGTTATCAGTCCAGTGCTTTTCCTCCAGACTCACATCAGGGCTCTTTGAAAGACTAGTATAGGAATCTCCTATATATGTGTATATTTTCATTGGTTTGTTTTTAGGCAGTCCTAGTGACACAGTTTTGTAAGCATTGTGCTGATAAGCAAAAGGTCAGCAGATTGAACCTGCCAGCTGTCCTACAGGGGGAGGATGAGGCATTTTGCTTCCATAGATTTTTTAGTGTTGTTGTTAGGTACCATTGAGTCGGTACCAACTGACAGTGACCCTAAGCGCAACAGAATGAAACACTGCCCGGTCCTGGGCCAACTTCACAATTGTTGCCATGCTTGAGTCCATCGATGCTGCCACTTTGCCAGGCCATCTGACTAGGGGGTCTTCCTCTTTTTCTCTGACCCTCCACCTTACCAAACATGATAGCCTTCTTCAGCAACTGCTCCCTCCTGACAATATGTCCGAAGTATGAGAGACGAAGTCTGGCCATCCTGGCCTCCAAGGAGCACTCTGGCTGCACTTCTTCCAACACAGATCTGTTGGTTCTTTTGGCAGCTCATGGCACTTTCAATAGTCTCCTCCAACACCATAACTCAAATGCATCAATTCTTCTACGATCTTCCTTATTCACTGTGTCCAGACTTGCATGCATGTGAGGTTATTGAAAACACCATGGCTTGGTTCAGGCACACCACAACCTCAGAAACTGTACCCTTCTGCTCTGTCCTGTAGGGGTGCTGTGACTTGGAATTGACTTGACAGTTAATGGGTTTGAGGAGGTTGTTTTTGTAATACATTATTGTATTACAGGAGCCCTGGTGGTGCAGTGGGTCAGGAATTTGGCTGCTGACTTCAAGGTTGGTAGTTTAAAACAACCAACCACTGCTTGGAGAAAGATGAGGCTGTGTGCACCTATCAAGTTTCACAGTCCTGGAAAACCCCTAAGAGGCAGTTCTGCTGTGTCCAGACAGGAGCTGTGAGCAGGGATGGCAGTGGATTGGACTTTTGGTCTGGTGAAAGTTTACACAGCACATTTAACAGTTGAGATTACCATTTAATATGCTTATTGGAGTCCAGGGTTGGTGCTGTAGGATTAAGCACCTGGACTGTTAATCACAGGGTTGGTGGTTCAAATCCACCAATGTTTCTTAGAAACCCTATACAGAGTTGCTGTGTGACGTAACAGACTCAACAGCACTTAACAACAACATACCTGTTGTTAGGATAGAATTTTGCAAGACCAACAACTTATTAATTGGAAATGCCTTTTTTTAATAACGTAAATGGAGACTCTGTCAGTTTGTCCTACCGTTGTGACTTGCCCTACCGTGGTGACTTGTGTGTTGCTGTGCGTCGGGAATTTGAAATACCAGCAGGGTTACTCATGGTGGGCAGGTTTCAGCTGAGCTTCCAGACTGAGAGTGGGAAGAAGGAGAGGCGACTAATTCTGAATGTTTAGTTGCTCAAAACCTTTTTTTTTTTTTTCATAGACAGCTTTTTATTGTGATAAAGTAGTTTTCCAAAGAGTGAAAAGTACAAATAGGAAGCTAAAGAAGTCTTTTATAAATCAATATAATTCAATTCACTAGAAGTAATGTTAAATTTTCTCATTCATCCCTTTAAACTTTAAAATGTGGCAATAAATGAAGAAACATATTTTGAAACCCAGTAACTTAGAACCAGTTAAATCAAAACTCAGTAGTAGCTGTAAACTTGCTACGTAGGTTTGAGGAAAGCACACTATAGAGATGTTACACTTTATTTCTTGATTTTTCAGTAAAGATTGATACAGTTAAAAAGAAAATGCAATATATATACACAAAGGCTACCAGTACATGAGTTTCATGAAATACAGATGATTATATCTCAGTTATCTTAAAATTTAAAAAAATGTTCATAACCTTTAAGTAGCTAACATTTTAAAGTTTAAAAACATTAGGACTAATGTTTTATAATCTATTGCTTAAAAGTATAAAATTACTAAATTATAAAATAAGGTAAAAATCAAGTTCTAATATTTTTCAATGAAGTACTCTAAGATCATAATACTGACAACACTAATTATCTTTTCTAGTCTTGGC